ATGTTTTGATGTATGTGTGCATTGCATAATATTTAAATCAAGTTAACCATATCTATCTCCTCAAACATGTATTATTTCCATATAGTGAAAACAAATACAACATTTCTTCTGGTTTTTTTGAAATATACAGTACATTATCTTAATGTACCGGCATCCTACTGTGCAATAGAACACCAGAAGTTTTTACTCCTGTCTAACTGTAACTTAACCATTTTCTTTTTACTTGTAAATATGTCCAGTAGGGAGATGACTGATTGGATTGCCCACTGAAGCCAAGATACCCTTCTGGAGCAGTCTCTCAACTATTAATAGGCATAGAGTCATCTTGGGGTTAGAATGCTTCCCAAGCTTGCTTGAGGGCGAAAAATACCTAGGGTGTTGGTATAAAGCCATAATTCTGAACTTGCTTGTGCCTGATATACCTATGAAATGTGTATGCATGAGGTTTTGGGGGACCTGTAGTTATAAGCCATAATGTTTATGAAACTAACATAACCTCAGATCCTAAACCAGACAAAAAGGGAAATTATGTCAGTTTTAGTTTTGAACTCTGATGAAGAAAATATCTTCAGAAATCACAACCAATTGGGATTTATTTTAGGAACAACAGGATGGTTTAACATTAGAAACCCTATTTTTGGCATCACCACATTACCAGATTATAAGAAAAAGCCCACATAATCATCTCAATATATGCAAACACAAATGACTTTGCATTGCATTCAACAGTATTTATGTTTTAAAAAAATAAGAGCAACCAAGAGACTTTTAGCCAGAAATAAAATAACACAGGACCCAGCACTGGGGAGGCTGAGGCAGTAGGATCATTGCAAGTTTGAGACCAACCTGGGCTGCAAAGAGAGTTCAAAGCCAGCCTGAACTGCATAGCCAGACCCTGTCTCAAAACGACAAAAAAAAAAAAAAAAAACCAGGAAACTTCATTACACTGTAAGCAGTGTATCTCGATGCAAGGGTAGTGTAGGGGTTAAAGTAATGGACTCTGTGATTAGACTATCCGGGGTTCAAATCCCGTCTCTGCCCAACAGATTCATTGAGGAATAACGTACATAAGATTAACCTTTTCGTAGTGTGCTTCAAATGCATACAGCTGTGTAACTTCCACAACAGTCAAGGTACGGAATATTTCCATGCCTCCCCAGAAGTCCCTCCTCCATCTCGGTATGGTTCGCCTCTGTGTCCCCTCAAAGCCCCGGGCGCTTGCAGGTGGGTGTTCTGGGGAGTGATTAGGTCACGGCACCGCGCTCATCAGTGGATGAGTTCCCCGATGAGCTGATAGCTAAGTGCAGATGGGAGGAAGCCCGGCAGGAGAAGGTAGGTCGCTGGGGGCGTGGCCTGGAAGGGTGCGTCTTTCCCTGGCCCTTGTGTTCGCTCTTGGATTCCCGGACACCACGACAGGAGCAGTTTTCCTGTGTCAGAGCCCCTGTGGACTAAAGCCTAAGCCAAGATAAACTTCTTTGGACTGTGAGTGTTGGGACTCTGTCCCCGCAGTGAGAAGAGGGACAAGACCCTGCAGACCTACTTTCTCCCCTATAATTTTGCCTTTTCCAGAAAGGCTAAGTAACAGAATCATTTTTCATACAGCGTATTGAGGCCGACTTCTTTTGCCTCACACCATTTTTTGAAATACACCCATGTTATTATGTGTTTTAGAAGTTTATTTTATTCTGTTCTCAAATATGAGTTTAGCAAAGTTGCCCGCCAGGGAAGATCTAGGATTTTGTGAGCCCTGAACCTTACGTAATTTGGGGGCCCTGTCTTAGAAAAAGAATGCAAAATTACTGATAAAAAACAGGTATGGAAGAAGTTATTTTAAATAAGAAAAGAAATAATATCACTGCTGCTACAAACACAGGATTTGTGAACAACACTTGCTCCTCTTGAGCAGATAGAATAATCATGGTCTCTGTACAGATGTATACTATGCAGTTGTGTTCTTACAGGAAAGACCTTCAATTTTGAATAAGCAAAAATGAACACTTAATTGTCTGCTTACAGTTTTATATTTTTGATGATTGGAAGAAATTTCCAGTGATTAGTTTCAGGTTTCATACATTCTAAACTCAGTTTCTTTCCCACCTCCCACGTAGTTCCAGGGATGGATACACACACATTCCAAGCCTGCCCTCTTCCTGTCAGAAATTTTGGCGAGGTGGTACAGGGTGACAGGAGTGTACCTGGCAGCGGTCCTGCACTCAGACAGCTGGCAGTGTAAACTACCACCAGAAGTGACTGCAAACCACATAAATATACCGCTAAAGTAAACGTATGTCCAAATGTTTCCTCAGACCGTTTCTCCACATGCTCCCACCCCTGCTACACCACTTACTAGGGGATACGTGACAGGTGTGGGAGTGGAAACAGACTTTGGCCTTAACACACCTGTTTTTCTTTTGCAAATTTTTAAGGATCAAATTGACTGTATAATCCCTTTGACAGTGACCTTCTCAGGCCAAGAAAGGAAACTGGACTCCAGAGATAAGACGGGAGTTGTGGAGAAGAGAAATTGTGCGTTTTGCTTGCTGTCTTTGCCGTGGGTTGAAGAAAGACAGTGTGCTTGACTCACCTTGTGGGAGAATTCAAGCAACCCTATCTGGCAGTGTCTTTTTCTTAAAACAGTCTGCAAGGAGCTGAGCTAAGAAGCAGCATGTTCTTGGTGGCCGGTGTCTTAAATCATCCACTGGGACGGAATGGCACAGTCCTGGCGTGCCCTCAAAGGGCAGCAGTCCTAGAGGACCCTGGGTACTGGAGCCACGCTGTCTAGGTTGGGTCTCCATAATTTTCTTTCAATATTTTCTTAATGGAAATCCCAGAACTAGCATCCTTACTTCAGAAAAACAAGTTTTCTCTTTTTGGAATAAAAAATCACCACAAACTAATTGCTTCAGCATATAGTGATATGGGATGATCTCACTTTATATGTGAGGTTTCAAATGAAATAATTTTTTGGAACAAAGAGTGACGCAGATTTAGAGTAACAACAAAGTATTTTAAATACATCTCAAGGGTTTTTGTTGCATAAGAGCTACATACCTTTTAAAATACGTTACTTGTTCTCGAGTAGATTGATTAAATATAGACTGTGCTCTGCAGTTAGAAGATTCTAGGGACTGTGAAATACAAAATTCAGATCTTACTTGATCTTTAGCATTTATAATTTTGATCCTAATATTTATAGGTGATTCTTTCTATCTTAAAGTGATTTTAAATGTAATGGAAGGATATGAGGAAAAGCCAAGTATATATTACTTCTATAATAAAATTTTAAATAAAGCGATAGGGTGCTTTTACTTTCAGTCAATCCTGGACCAGATACTCTGGGCACTGCTGCAAGCCCTTAGAGTTTATGATTCAGGCGGAGAGAAAGCCCAGCCCTTCCACAGTAGCAGCGAACATTGTGAAGTAGGGTAGAATTCTGTGCTGTTGTACAGCGCGCAGGCTTCACGGTGTAGACGAAGTGCAGAGGTGACAGGAAGCGGGAAAGGCGCACAGGAAGAGCAGAATTTCTTGGAGTTGTTTGGGTCTGCTTTCATTGGTGTTCCCAGGTAGCTGGCTTTTTAAGCGGCAAGTCTGGGAAATTAAGCAAAAAGATAACCCCAGGAGCTCAGCACCGTTTCTCTTTGGGCCCGAAAGGCCCTTGCTTGTCTTCTATCTTCTTTCCACCTAGGGTGGGAGGGGCTGGTTTTTCTTATAAAGAACTGGCGCACATAATTACGGAGGCTGTGAAGTTCCAGGAACTACAGGTGAGTTGGTGTGTTAGCTGTCCGTTGCATAACAAAATTCCCAAGAAAATCAACTTAAGGAAGGAATCTGTTTTGCTTCCGACTTGAGAGGCCTCAGTCTGGTTGCTTGGGCCCTGTTGCTGGGCTGTGGCGGGACACAGCTCCGTGAGGGAGGGAGTGGCGGAGCAGCGCCGCGCTCTTCCTGGAGGCCGAGTTTCAACACAGGAGCCCTCGGGGGGCGTTCTAGACCCGAACTGTAACCACTGGCGAGGTGGAGGCCCAGACGGCTGGGGGTTAGCTCTCACCTGCACCGTCACAGCACGCATCGTTTAAAGCCTCTCGCCCAACAGACCGGCTAGTTTGGGCCTATAGATTCTGACTCGGGGTTCACACACATTCACATGTTGAGCTCGCTTTGAGACGTAGGAAACAGCTTAAAGGTGATGACTAAAGCCTTTCAAGGCCAAAAGTGTGTTTGAGGGAACGACCCCTGACACCTGGAAGACGGCGGCGTGGCATTGTGGGAGTGCACACCTTCTGGTCCCCGTGTTCCTGCAGGATAGCTTCTAAACAGGAAGACAGCTACCACTTTCGTTCTCTTCCGATTCTTAAAATAGGAACGTGTGTTTCCACTGGGGAAAGACAAAGAAGACCCAAAATTAGAATTGATGATGGCCTGTAATCCTATGTCACAATCCTAACATCTTCCCTGGAGCCCGCACCCCGAGGGCTGGCTGGGTGCAGGCTTCCCTTGCTGGGGAAGACTTTGGACTCCAGGAAACCTTGGGTAGCAAGGCTGTGCCTGGGGAAATCACTTCAGCTGTCGGAACAGTAGTACTCGTAAGTGAAAGGAGGATTTGGTGTATAGAAAATCAGCAGTTACGTGGTAAACATTAAACAAAGACGTGGAGCCCGGAGTTAGACGTGTGGTCGTGCTCATTCGCGATAGCCTTGATGACAGGTGACTGCAAAGAGGTGGACTTCTGGAGATGGGGCAGGGGATGGTCTGAGTTACTCCTCCTTGCTGAGGAAAGATGCCTGGCACCCGCGGGGTAAAGGAAGAAGGGTTTACGCCAGCTCCCAGCTTGTAGAGGTTTCAGTCAGTAGTCGGCTGGCTCTGCGGCGGGGTGGCCCAGTGGGCAGCAGGCAGCAGCAGCAGCAGCAGCCTCCTTTCTGGCCCCTTCTGTTCCATCCAGGCTGCGAGCCAGGGATTGGTGTCACCCACACCCGGAGTGGGGCTTCCATCATCCACACCCTCCGTCCCCATTCACCCACCCTGAATCCAGCCACCTCTGAGAAGCCGACTTAGGACCACAGGAGGCTGTGGGAGGACAGCTAAGTAGAAGCCATCACCAGGATCCTCAGGAGAGAAGAGGAAAGAGACATAAAAACAATGGGATTTGAATTAATTAAGGTATATGTCTTGGTTACTTTTCTCTCGTTGCTGAGACAAAATACCTGACGCTGAAAATTAAGGAAGGACAGCTTTAGGTAGCTCACAGTCTGTGGAGGTTTCACTCCATACGTGACCGGTTCCAAGGCAGGGTGGCACATGGCAGAGGGTACGTGTTCATGGCGGCAGAACACAGCAAAAACAACAAGCGCAAAAGGGAGGAGTGGCGGGAAGCAGCCTCTTTCCCTCTCTTACATTGTATGCAAACTACCCACCCCAGGGCAGGTGCAGCACTCACACCCGTAACCCCAGCCTTGGATCACGGATCAATCACAAATCCTAGAAGCCGCCCCATGACTGCATGAGGATCTGGGGGGATGTGCAGACACAAACCATAGCATTACATGAAATGCATGTTCCAACTCCCCCAAACAAACCACACATTATGTAGTATTAACGTGCAGTAATACAGTTTTTTTAAGGAGTTCACCTTTGTCATTGTAAGCTCTCAGTAAACATTTTTTAAAGCGACAGAGTCCTGTTGCATGAGTATTCAGAATTAGACATTCCCTAATATTAGACCACTGGATAATCTTCAGTTTTCCCATTTATGAGTAAGACTGCTGTCCTACGGCTCAGATCTACACCTCCATTTTTTCTAATTGCTTAAATTTATTGGTACATTATAGGAATACACAATGATCACATTCATCATAGGGAATTTGTACCTGGACATGGTACATCTTGATTCTTTTTTCCATTCCCCTGCCTTCCCTTCAACCCTTCTTTCTCTCCTTATTTACAAAGGCTTGTTTCCATTTTTCCTTCTTTCTTCATTTGTTTTTCTTTCATCTTCCTTCCTTCACTCTGCCCCCCGACTTCCTCTTCCCATTTGAACAATTTCTTCCTATTTCGCAATATCTGTTACGTATTTTGGTCCTTGCTTTCACTTCCAGTTTATCCTGCCAGAGAAGCCGTGGGGTATTTACATGTGTGTCTGATTTATTTCACTTAAGAATATGGTCTCAAGGTGCACCCATTTAACTATAAATGTCTCGTTTATCCTTCTTTATGGGTGAATAGTAATCCATTGTATAAAAAACAAACACATCTTCTTTATCCTCTCATTGGGTGCTGCTATAAACATGGGTGTGTGTATATCGCTGTGATATGATGCTTTTAATTCTTTTGGGAAGATGCCAAGAAGGGGAATTGCTGGGTCAAATGGAACCTCTAGTACTAATTTTCTGAGGAATCTCCACACTGATTTCCACAGTGGTTGCACCAGACAAGGATTCCCTCTCCTCCACAGCCCTCCAGCATTTACTATTGGTTGATTTCTTGTAATAGCCATTCTTTCTGGAGTGAGATGGAATGTCAGTATTGCTTTAGTTTGCATCTCTCAAATGACCAGTGATGTTGAACATTTTTTCATATACTTATTTGCCATTTCTACTTCTTCATCTGAGAAGTTTCTTGTTTATTTTAGATGCCCACTTTTGGATTAGGTCTTTAAATTTGGGGGCCTGATTTTTCTGAGATCTTTATATATTATAAATATTAGTCCTTTGTCTGAGGATCACCTGGCAAAGTTTTCTTCCCACTCTGTGTGTTGTCTCTTCACTCAGCTGGTGGTTTCTTTTGCTATGCAAAAGCTTTTTAATAGGAGGAGATCCCATTTGTTGATTCTTTAGGGTATTTCCTGTGCAATCAGGGTTTTATTCATAAAGTCTTTGCCTACACCAGTGTCTTCAAGAGTTCTGTCTATTCTCTCTTCCAGTAGATTTAGTGTTTCTACTTTAATATTTATATCTTCAATCCATTTTGATTTTAGTTTAGTGTATGGTGAAAGATATGGGTCTAGTTTTAATCTTGGGCAAGTTTTTCCAGCACCATTTATTAAAGAGCCTGTCTTTCTTCCAGTGAAGGTATTTGACTTCTTTGTCAAAGATAAGGTGGCTGAGTATGCCTAGCGTTACTTCTGCATCTTCTATCCTGGGTTTTTTTGTTTTGTTTTGCCAGTACCATGCTGTTTTTATCACAGTAGCTTTATAGGATAATTTCAAGTCAGGGAGTATGATGCTTCCTGCCTTACCCTTGCAATTTTAGGTCTCTTTTGGTTCCAAATTAATTTTAAGACTATTTTCTCGAAATGTTTGAGATACGCTATTGGAATTTTGATCAGGATTGCATTAAATCTGTATAACAATTTTGGGAATATGGCCATTTTCACAGTGTTGGTTCTTGCTATCCATGAGCAAAGGATATCTTTCCATTTTCTAATATCCTCTGCAACCCCTTTTTTCAGAGTACTGTAATTTTCACTATATATATCTTTTACTTCCTTTATTAGACTAATTCCTAAGTATTTCATTGTTTTGGATGCTACTGTGAAATGTGTTGTTTCCCTAATTTCTCTCTCAGTGAATTTTTTATTTATGTATAAGAGTGGTATTGCTTTTTGAGTGTTAACTTTGTATCTGGCTATACTACTAGATTTGCTTATTAAATCTAGAAGGCTTTTGGTTGAGTTTTTGGGGTTTTCTAAGTAGAGTATCATGTCATCTACAAATAATGATAATTTCACTTCTTCCTTCCCTATCTTTATTCCTTTTATTCTCTCCCTTGTCTGATTGCTCTGGTAATGTTTCCAGAACTATGTTGAAGAGAACTGGTAATAGTAGACATCTTTGTCTTGTTCCTGATTTTAGAGTGAAAGCTTTGTTTTTGTCTGTTTAGTATGATGTTAACTGTTGGTTTTGTCATAGATGGCTTTTATCATCTATTCCAATTTTCTGTGGAGTTTTTATCATAAATGAGTGTTGGACTTGGTTAAACACTTCTTCTGCATCTGTTGAGATGATGATGTAGTTTTTGTCCTTGGCTTTGTTAATATGGTGTATTACACTTACTGATTTGTGTATGCTGAACCGTCCTTGTACCCTTGGGATGAATCCTAGTTGGTCAAGGTGTGTAACTTTGTGATGATTTGCTGTATTCTGTTTGGCAGTGTCTTACTGAGGACTTTTGCCTGCGTGTTCACTAGGGAGAGTAGCCTGTACTTCTCTTTTGGGGTTGGATCTTTCTCTGGTTTTGGTATCAGGATAATGCTTTCTGCCTCCGTTTTAGATCATTTCCTTAAATTCAACCTCTTCAAGGACAAAGTTCAAAATTAAGGCACAGAACCTTCTAGAAAGGTCATACAAGTTGTACCAAGGTATGGAAGAGAAAGACACTTTTTTAAATTCTCAATTATTTTGTTTCGTAGAATCATCAGATGGTGAAAGAGGAGGAGAAACCAAAATGATACAGCAGGAGACAGGTGCAGTTCCTGCATCACCAAGAAAGCCCGAACAGGTGACAGTTACTGGGGATGTGCACTTTCTGGATTTTGGAATAAGCTTCTGTCAGTCCACAGCATTTCCTATATCCTAATATCAGTTGGTGCTATGATTTTTGGGAAGCTTTTGCCGTCTCTGCCTTATCTTTCTCATTTTTTTTTTTATTTGTTTTCTTTACACTATAAATATAATTCATAAGAATTATATTTAGATTCTTATGTCACATTTTCGTGAAGATCCAAGCTTATTATTTTGGGTACAGTTCCTTAGAGAGACTGATACCATACAGATATGGAAAATCTTCCTACACAAAAATCTATGATTATGCTACCACACTATGCTGTGTCTGATAGTTTCCAGCTAGTTTTCAGGGCCGTGTTTCTACCTAGTGTATGGTTGTTGTATGCCTTCTTAACAGGGGATTTGCTGTCATGCCTTAGTCCAAATGGCCATTTGGAATAAGCTTTATTTCCTGGGCCTAACTTTTTTTTGCTTTTTACTGACCTCTGAAATGTCACTCACATCCACTTGTAGCTTTTTACCATTATGCGTCCTTCATATTGATCTTTAAAGAACCGTCTCCTATCAATCAAAATTGGTCACCATCCTTGCAGTAAAGATTTGTGGTCTTATATTTACTGTGGATGTGCGAGATTCATTCCACAAGAGGTGTCTCTTCCCAAAGCTTGTGACCAGCTTAGAATAACGGTGAGAAGCAACTTGGCATACTAGTTCTTTACCACCTATTTGACCTTGGGCAAGTTAAATTCTCTGAGCCGCTGTCTCCTTACCAGTAAAATGATGGTGATAATTGTAACTCTCACAGAGTTCCATGGGGATCAGATGAGTCACTGCCTGTGATGCACTTCAAACTGTGGTTGGCAGAGAGATGCTGGCACACGGAAATGTTCATCACTATAATGCAGCATACTTGGTCTTTTCGTTCTCATTAATGACCTAAAGGTTAGCTTCCTCGGATTTTCAGTTCATTTCAAGGTGGAACCTAATCTTACCTTAACTTATTCCGCTAACCACACCACGCCATGCGTTCGTTGACTTTCCCTCTAATAAGTGCCCTGGCTGAACTTATTCCCAAAGAGCCTTTTTCATACCCAGTTGCTCTCTTTTTCCTTGCTTGTCTTAAAATTCGTTTTGCTTACTTTCTCTCTTGCTTTTCTTGCTTCTTTACTTTTTCTGGAACCATTGGTTAAAGAATAAATTTGAATTAATAAACCCACTCGTGCCTGCATCGTTCCTTCTTTTTATTGATGAAAGGGTCATCATTGCTAAGTGTTTGCATGTTTTAGCTCCTTTCTTCCCAGGCTTTTCTTTTCCCATAACTGTTAAGTTAGATAAATGGAAGATAACTTGAAGAGGAAAAAATGGGAGAGGAAAACCTTGAATATATTCCCAGTTCTGTGAGTATTGCCCTATGTTTGGCTACCCAGATTTCAATTATGATAGAGGCCTTTTACTGAGCGGTTGTCATAGGCTCTGTATAAGGCACCCTTTAACTCACGTAATCTTCACGGCAGCCCTGTGAGGTTAATGATACCCCATTTACAAAAACCAGAGTCCCAAAAACTAGTGAGAGTCTTGGCCAGAACCCCAAAAGCTTAAGGATTTACTGCCTATTTCATCGCCTTCCTCTTGCTCTAAGTTCTGTCACTACCAAATTCCTGTGACGTCATAGGCAGTCAAAATGCCCTAGCCCTTCCTGCAGTTCACCTCCCTTCCCGGACCAGGTAACTCTCCTCTATCTCTAAATGTGCATAAAAATCTGTTTGTGTCCCTGTGCTTCCCATGATTGTTGTCCATCATTTTTTGTTTGTTTGGTCTTTTTGAGACCAGCTCTCTCTATGCAGTTCAGGCCAGCCTTGAACTCACTTTGTAGCCCAGGCTGGCTTCAAACTCTCAACGATCCTCCTGCCTCAGCCTCCCAAGTGCTGGGATGACAGGCGTGTGCTACCACACCTGGCTGAGTGTTGTCCATCTAAATCCACCACCTGGTCAGAGCACCTCAGAGGCAGTTTCCTTGCACCTCTTCACAGCACCTAGCGCAGGAACTTCCCCAAAGTGGCACTCATTTGTGAAATGAAGAAATGATTACGGTGAAGGATGACTGTACCAGTATCCCAGCTTTCTTATCCCTCACCCATTTGCAGCCCTCCTGTCCCAGCTGATGAGCAGTCAGCTCCCTGACACAGCTGCCTGCAGAGGGCTGGTGGAGCCTCCTGACCTCGAGTCCTTCCTGCGGCCCCATACAGGACCTCCCACCCCAGACCCCCCTTGATACTCAGCGCAAACCCGAGATCCCCCTGTGGGCGGTGCCCGGACTCTCCTTCCAGCTCCTCCGCAGGCTCCCCGTGCTTTTTCTCCTAGTGTTTTCCTCCCTCTGAAGCTCATCCCGTCATCGCAAGCGTGACTCCCTTGCCTGGCCCATTGTGTCCTTCCCCGAGTCTGTGTGTGTAGAGCCCCAGTCTCTAACTAGCTCATGGGTGCCTCAGGGCCAGAGTTTCCTCTGTGTCCGCTACAGGACATAGCACAGTGCTGGGTACATACTGGACGGACATATGTTTTCTAAAAGTAATTGTATGTATCCAGCATCATGAGAAAAAAATTGTTTTATGCTATATTTAAATTTTGAATTTTTTTCAAATTTGCGTAGTTGCTTTTCTTTGAAGTTTTTCATTATCTGTGTGCAGGAACTGCCTGGCACTGTAAGCTTTAACACCGCAGCTGGGAGCGTCTGTTGAGGTAGATGGTGTCCCTCCTTCGCCCTAACTGAGCCTCACGTCTGTGTTACTGAGTCTACACCGCCAGTCTGTCCAGTGTTTCAAGCGAACGATTTATAACTTTCCAAAAGTTTTCTTAACCTCTACGACTGTAGCACCTCTAGGAACCATTTCACATCTAAGTAAGCACCCGTGGCCTGCTTAATAACGCGAGTGCGCAGTTTGCCAGCAGTCCTACCCCACCCCACTCCCACAGTCCTTCCAAAGTAAATGGTGAGTGCCCGCTCCCGGAGATTGCATCACCCGCTCCCTCAGCAGCAGTCACTGCAGAGCCAGCCCCAGTGACTCTAGCTGTGGTTCCCAGCATGTAAACCCTTGCAGGGGAGCTGGCGACTCGCGCGGAAGCCTGGATGATGTCAGGAGCGTTTCAGCGGTTCCATGACCTATCCGCTCCCCTCAGAGACCACACTGGACTCCTTTTTCTTTCAGCTAGACTTTCGTTTACTTCCCCGGATCATAAAGAAATCTCCAGCACAAGTCCTCTCCTTCCTCTCCCTTGCTCACCTTTCTCTGTTGTATTTATTGTATCTTTATTTGAACACTACTCATTTCATATTTCTTTAACTTTTTGTTTCCAAGATCACTTTGGTGCTTGGTAGGGAGAGCAGAGCTACGTCCTTCCTACTCTCCTGATTAACTGCTCTCATCCGTAGCAGTGTCTCTCTTCTGGCCTCCTTCCTGTCAGTCTGCTGTTGCTTAACAGACTGCCCCAAATCTAACAGTGTAAAGCACACAGAAACATCATCTCCCTGCATCTTCGGTCCCACAGGCCTGGGTTAGGTCAGTGCATCTAGCGTGAGGTCTTAGGCATCACAGCCAGTCAGATTCCAGGCTGGGGCAGGGGACAGCGGGGGAAAGTCCCAGAGCTCATATGTGTGGTAGTCGGCAGGCCTCAGTCCTTCTTTGTGACCCTGCCACGGTGTTGGCTCACAACCCTGCTGCTGGCTTCCCTCAGCCGACTGATCCAAGAGGGAGCAACCAAAAACCCTCAAGACAGAAGCCACAGTCTGTGTAAGAGTTGACACCCCATCTCTCCTGCCATTTCATTACGAACAGATCGGTAAATCCAGTCCTCATTCAAGGGCCAATGGATACAGAGACAGAGATAAGAGTTGGGAATTATTGTGGGTTCTGGCTGCCACGGGCTTGCCTCCGGCATCCAATGATACATAGTGTTGGGACCTTGTCGGTCTCTCGGTGTACCCTGGGGAGGAACGATGGCAGGTACGAGGAAAAAACAGACAAGAGACAAGAGCTGGGTCAGGTGGAGGCGGCCTCTTACCTCAGAGGTTAGAGAACCTGAACAACAGCAGTAGGCGTGTTTATTTTATACGCTTAAAAAGTTAGTATCAGGAGCGGTAATGTTGCCTAGCAACTAACGCCTGTAATTGTCCAGGCAGGATGCTTCTCTCAAGACTGAGGTATCGTGACTGCCTGGCACTCTGGCTCTGGCCTGCCCTCACACACATGACCAGTTTCCAGCTCCAGCCTCTCCAAGCAGTACAGCTGTCCGACATGCGGAATATGTTCACCCACCCAAGGCCCGCAGAAGTCTTACCCCATTGCAGCAGGAGTTCAGCTTCCGAGTCTCATCAGCAAAATCAGATCTAAGTACAGTTGAGGTTTCTAGGATTTGGTTCCCTAAGCCAAAGTCCCGTAGGACATTTCTTCTCAATTTTATAAAACTGGAGACCTTATGTCTCCCACGTACCCAGCACACAGTGGTGGGACAGGAGCAGGATAACCACGATGAGCACTGTTACTCAAAAAGAGGAGAGATAGGGAGCTGCAGGAGTCCTTGGACCCACAGGGAAAATGTTAGGGATTTGTTGATGAAGTCTCAAGCCCAGGAATAATTCTCTGTGCTCTTAGCTCTGTCCTTTGAGCACTTTGTTCTTCCCTCTGAGTCATCCGTCTTTTCATTAATGAAAAGTAGCAGATCTTTGCAACTGAGCAGGTCTTTTGACATGTACCCTTTTTTTTTTTTTTTTTTTGTACCGGGACTCAAACTCAGCACTTTGCGCTTGCCAGGAAGGCGCTTGTGCCGCTGCGCCACATCCCCAGCCTCAACCTGTATCTTGATATTCTGAGGTTCCAAAGGGCTCTCTAATTTGGTTCTCCGAACTCTCCATGCAAACTAGAGCTGTTCCTGCTTACATAACTCCTTTACAAACTGTGTGGGCTACCTGTGATTCTTTGGGGGTTATTCCATTAGGCAGAA